GTTTGAGGCACAGTCTGAGCCAGTATTTAGTTCTTTAGCTTTTAGAAAAGGCTGTCCTAATTCCAAACGTGGTGGTGGGTGGTGTGTTGTATTTTTGAGTCCCGGTTTTTTTTTTTTTTGTATTATGCTTCTAAGTCTTCTATTTTGTAGGATTTTGGGGAAGTAATAGGTCTGTTTTTTTACTTTTTAGAGTTTTTTTACAGTATTTCTTGCTTGTCCCGAATAAAGTGTGTAAAATATACTATTTTTAGTAACAATGTTTGTTAGATAGATAGACCCAAGTTTGTTCGTATCCATAGGGGGGCAAGACAATCTTAGACAATCTAAACAATGACTACATGGGGGAACATGGGGGAAAAGGGGTCCTTAGAGGTTCATTTATTAACACGTTTGAAGTTTTATTTGTGGTCAGCAGCATATAGGTAATACCGTTTTAGGTAGGGTGAGCAAAAATCATGGCATATCATAGAGTGCAATTTTTAGCCTTCAGCAATAAAAGCAAGTATTTCCCTCCCATGAAGCGCAAAAAATAACATCTTTATACATAGATTTATTACCATCTGTGGTTCGGTTATACTTAAGTGTGCAGTTTTTACAGCCTGTTCATTAATGTCAATAAAGCTTTATTAAAAAATCAAATAGAGGTCTTGGGCCCCCCCACTTTTTTGCACAAGAGTCCATCACCCTGCATCACTGAGACAACATAATTTTGATCTGGGTGACAGCATCATGTTGCCATTTTCTGGACTATGAAACTTTATGTTGGAGTGTTTATAAACTGAACCCACAGCCACAGTCACTGCAAGTGGATGCAAGTTCCTGTAGGTGTACTAATTCCTACAGTCCTGTTTCTGTACAAGTCACCTGGCCCCGCACAATGTCATGTCATATAAGCCATGATTACCAGAAAAGTTGAACCCACATTGAAGGCACATGATTCCTTTGCAGTACTTGGGAACAACTTTCCTGCCCCCTAGTGCCCCACAGTATGTGGAGAGACAGAAAAAATACGCTGTTCTCGGGGCACTCTAGGAGGCCTAGGAAGGTAAATAGTATTTTGAACCCCCCCCCCCAAGCTTCATCAAAATGGGCTCAGGACCCTCGTGAGGAAGAAGGGCTGTGTAACCTCCCCCCATCATTCATAATGGTCAAGAGAGAGAAGAGAAGGCTTTGGGGACTCTTACCCCTGTGTGATGCCCTGTGTGATGTTTAATTAATATCCTAAGAGCTGGTTCCCTCATAGTGAGTCTAGCTGACGAACGTGTTAGACCTTATAGAGGAAGGCTTTCCCATTGCATTCATGAGGTCATCTGGTGTGCAGTTTTCGGTGTTGAATGATGTGGGAGCTTTGGCTGAAGGATTTCCCACACTCCCCACACTCGTAAGGCTTTTCTCCTGTGTGGACTCTGCGGTGCTGGATGAGGTTGGACTTCTGGCTAAAGGATTTGTCACACTCATTGCACTTATAAGGTCTGGCTCCAGTGTGAATTCTCTGGTGTTGATTGAGAGTGGACCTGTGGCTAAAAGATTTCCCACATTCACCGCATTCGTAAGGCCTTTCTCCCGTGTGAATGCGCAGGTGCTGAACAAGTTTGCATTTGTAGCTGAAGGATTTTGCACATTCATTGCATTTGTAAGGCCTGGCTCCGCTGTGAATTTTCTGGTGTTGAATGAGGTTGGAGCTTTGGCTGAAGGAATTCCCACACTCCCCACACTTGTAAGGCTTTTCTCTCGTGTGAACTCTCTGATGTTTAATGAGAGTAGAGCTGTAGCTGAAGGCTTTCCCGCATTCACCACACGCATAAGGCCTCACTCTAGTGTGAATCTGCAGGTGCTGGACAAGTCTGAATTTGAAGCTGAAGGCTTTTCCACATTCGCTGCATTTATAAGGCCTTGCGCCCGTGTGAATTCTGTGGTGTTGAATGAGGTTGAAGCTTTGGCTAAAGGATTTCCCACATTCGTTACACTCATAAGTCCTTGGTCCTGGGTAAGCTCTCGGGCAATTAATAAGGGTGGAGCTTTGGTTAAAAGGTTTATCACAGTCATCCCAGTCGTGATAACTTTCTCTGGTGTGAATGTGCTGATGCTGGAAAAGTTTATATTCATAGCTGAATGCTTTGCCATAGTCGCTGCACTTGTGAGGACTTTCTCTACCCTGAAAGGACTCCTCAAGTTCCAAGCTGCTGTGTGGGTTGGCCCCTTTGAGAGTGGCCTGATGTTGGAGAAGACTCAATATGGCCAGGAAGTCCTTCCCAATTTCCCCACAGGGGAAAGGCTTCCCTGACACATGCAGTTTGTAGCTTGTCAGAAGCTCCATGTCCCATCTGAATGGCTTCTCTTCATTGTGCTTCTGGTGCTGGTGAAGATCTGCACTGAACCACAGTCGTTTCCCACATGCCTCACAGGTGTAGGATTTCTGCCCAGGATGTGATCCTTGGTCCTCAGCCACGTACAAAATGTCTCTCCCAAGCAAGACACATTTCTCACAGGGCTGAGCTTTCCAAACGGATGAATCTGGACTTGGAGTCTTTCCCAGTGCCGCCATCTCATTCTCCATTCCGTACCAACAACCTGAAAGCACAGAAATGCTGGTGTGAAATATGTTATCTTTGTGTCACAAATGTCTGTCGTGCACAGTTGAATAAGGCCACTGGACTGGTTTTCAAAAAAGGGTGTGTTGGGGTCAGGTTGGTAAAAAGGGGCTGGAGTCCTGGAGATCTAAAGTCACAAGACTTAGGGAGGCCTCACGAGATGACTGGGGGGGGTGGGTGTGTGCAGCACAGGGAGAAGCAGCGTCTCGAATTCACTCCTCTGCCCCTGGCCTGCAGGAGGGCTGGGAGTGCTGTGTGGAAGTTCAGGTCCAGACACAGATGGGTGCAAGTGACGCTAGTCAAAGACTAAGGAGGTGTAAGCTAATGTTGAGGAACAGGTGGGAGAAAGAGGTGTGGGCACTTCCATCAACACTCTCACGGGCTGTCCTGGGAGAAGGGCCCTGGACTCCTCTAAACCCCAGATGAATGAACTGGGGACTCGGATGAGGCAGTGACAAGACAGGGAGAGGGTGAGTGATGCTCCAGAGCAATTCTATGCATGACAAAAACCAGAAAATACTCTAAGGAGACCCCACAGGAACAGCCCCTTGGCCTCCATGCAACTGCTGGCCTCAGGTAAGAAGAAACATGAGCTTAGAAGGAGCGAGAAAACCTGGGCAGGTGCCATGGGTGTGGACAAGAGTGGCTGATGCTAATCCACCGGGGGGGGGGGGGGTGTTGTGCAAGCACCTTGACAAGAGGGCAGTTGTTGAGCCCACTCCTAGCGATGGCAGTACCCGTGACGCAAATGTGGGAAAAGAGCAGAGTCTAGCCGGGGGGGGGTGTCTTACCCAGTGAGATCACAAGTGCAAAGTTCTCCAGCATCACATCATGGTACAGGCATCTCTGAGTCTCATCAAGGAGCCCCCACTCTTCCCAGGAGAAGTACACAACCACGTCTTCAAAGGTCACACTACCCTGCCATGATGGGGAGAGATGAAACCACAAACAGCCCTCCTCCCAGGCCACCCAGCCCCAGTGCTAGCAATCACTACGTCCCACCCTCTGAACAAGAGGCATGGGGGCAGGCAGAATCTTAAGTTCATGGCCAAGCGGCAAGGCCTCCACAGCCTCCCCAGTGCATCCACCAGGCACAACTGAAGATAGCCTCAACCAGTGCTCTCCTCAGTCCCTAATACCAAGGGGCTGGGAGACATCAGCTCACACACCTCTTTTTACAGCTTTACGGTATCATAAGTGCTGGGCAAGTCAGACCCCACTGCGTTAGGGCAGCCTCAAGGACACTAGAGCCTCCATGAAAAACCCCACTAAAATTTAAAATCCAATATCCCTATATCCAGAGACGGGAAATTACTATTTAAACAGAGCACCAGGCCAAGTACACTTATGTCTCCTCTGTCCCTTACCTGGTTTGAGAGACCACTTGCTGCCAGGAGCAGGTCTAGACTCAGTACCCATCCTCTTCTGCTGGGCCTCTTAATAATCTTCTCATCATCATCTGAATTTCCCTTCCTACATGTGACACAAAGTTCCACCTATGCGTCTAAGGCTGAACCCCACATCAAACCTGTAGACTTTTGTATCCAGCTGCCTGCATATGGAGTACGTCCTGAAACATGTCAGGCTCTCTTGGTCATCCCTGTCTCCTCCTGTTGTCTCCCTTAACTACACTGAACTTAAACCCATCCAACACTTCCTCTTACTTCCAGGGCCACGATTTACATCTCTGTAGCTACAAAGCACTGGTAAACACAAGATCCACGCCATCAGAAGGAAAGAACATGGGCATTTCCTTGATTACTCACAGTGCAGCCATGCTGGTACCCGTGCCCCATGACCACCTCATTTTGCTGACTTCTGCTAGACCTGCAAACATACTTCCATCCATATAAACCACCTCCATCCATATAACCTCTAGTTTGATGTCATTCCACAGTCCTGGACACCCTCCCCCTTACATGTAGGCTCCAAAAGTGCTTCATCAGTAGAGGTGGGGCTCAATGAGCTCCCATCTCCACTGTTCCTGATTGTCCCTCAGCCTGTGAATCCAGACATTTCCCTGCTTACTGTGGAGACCAGGTTTTCCCTCAGCCTCAGAGCCAGGACACCGGGGCCTGGGCCGGAGGGATGCAAGCAGGCGTCCCAAGTTAGGACCTTGAGGGTCTTAGACATTTACCTGAGCTGGGTCCCTGGGTGTGGCCGCCATCGGACTCTGTGGGAAGAGCAGGGCTGGGAGCAGTGCAGTGCCGCGGGGATGCCTCCTCTCGTGACTCCCCAGTCGTCACCTTGTCCTGACCCTGTGCTCTGGAGCCTCCAAACAGGAAACCGACCCCAGAGCTGCCAAAACGACTGCCAGAAGGACCCCAGAAGTCCTGCCCCAATGTGATGGCACACACGGAAACGCCCGTCTCTTGGACCTTCATTGGTCCACGCTGGTGTCACTCGGTGCACGGTCCTCTGGGCAATGCCGTTCTTAGTGCTCCGCAGGCCTCTGTGAAAGGGGCCACACATCAGAAACTCCTGTGCCACTGGGAAGTGTTGTGAGGGGGCTGTGCCCTGATTCCTGGGGAGTTGCCTGCAACTGATCACTTTTTAATGCTTAGCACACTCCCAAAGCTTTACAAATCCAAATAGATGTACCATTCCATAGAGTTACTCATAACAGTGTGTCTGACCTCGGTGGGGGAAACTGGGAAGGATGTGACCTCATCTCCTACTGTTTTGTTTTTCTCAAGGTGCACTGCCCATTCCGTGCTTTTGTCCGACATCAGAAAGCCATTGATTCTGGTATTTGGAGGAGTATGAGGGGGACTACACTAGCCTTGAAGCCACGAAAGTGATTCAAAGCTTTCAAAACCAAATTCTCAAGGCAGAGCGGTCTCCAGACTGTGCAAATGGTAGTAGTTAAGTTCCAAACCAAATTCCATGTCCTATTAGAGATTCACTGGAACCAGCTGTGCCTCCGTGGTTTACAGAGCTTTATGCAGAATGCACTGTAAAAGGGACTCCCTTGCAAGGACTGAGAATACACAAGTACTCACTTCTGTAGAGGTAGTTCTATCGGTCTAGGAGGTTTGAATAGATGAAGATATAGATCCATTAAGGACAGTTTGAGCTACATACTCCTGAACTGAGGTGCCACAGAGCACATACCTAGTCTTATTTTGTCACAGTGATTTGGTAATCTGCATGTAAAATTGAGGCACCTGGGAAGAAGCCCCCACAAGTGTGTGCATGAACAAGTGCATGAAGAATTTTTTTGGCTCTTAAATTAGAAAACACTCTAAAGCTCATAACTAACTCTCTTGTGGAACAATTTAGCAGGTTATTTCCAGGTAATGAAGCCCTAGTCAAAGGGCCATCTAGAATTGATAAAGGCTGTGGTATCTGTTCTGACTGCTCCACCTTCAGGTTTCCTTGTTTGCCTCAGACATGACCATAGTGAAATTATGCCTATTAATAACATTAGAACACAAGTGAAACGAAGTGCCTTGTACACCTTTCACTTTAAATCAAGTGTAGCCCAGTTGTGAATGAGAAAACCACAAAAAGCCTTTGAAGGGAATAAATAAAAGTTAAAAGTGCTACTCCAGTGAACACACAAATGATAAGAAAGCAAAACAGCCTTACTGCTTGATAAGAGAGAAAGTGGTAGTGGTCTGCCTAGAAGATCGAAGTGGCCCCCAAGTTCCCTTAAGCCAAAAGGGAATGGCTTTCTGATGCCCTAATCCAGAGCAAGGCCCTTAACTGTCTCCAATTCTAGGAAGGCTGAGGTGAGGAGCCCGGCAGAAGACAATCTGAAAGTCAGCAGAGAGGCTGGTTCCTGTGCTGGTCCGGAATATTAGCTAAGACCAGTCGTGAAGGTGGCTACACAAAACCACAAATTTTCAAGGTAGGCGAGGTAGGCAAAACAGCCTTCTACTGGAAGATGTCATCTTGCACTTTCAGAGCTAGAGATGTCAAGCCTGGCTTCAGAGGAGAGGCCCACTGTGTTGTTAGGGGTGCTCATTTATCATTCTGGACATCCTAGGATCCTTTAAAATTGAGCTAAAGCCACTCTGCCTGAGGTACAAATGGAACAACAAAGCCCAGATGACAACACATCTGTTTATATATAATATGGTTTACTGAATACTGAGACCCAAAGGCTCACTGTGACAATGTACACGGTCACCCAAGAGCTCTGATGGAGAGGCTAACACACAACATCCATTCTGTAGCCCACGAATGAAGGAATAATATTTGACTTTCAAGTCTTTGTAAGGCCAGAGAAGGGATTTAGGACTTCCATGGAAGAAATAACAATAGATGTGGGGTGGAAACTGCAAGAGAATTAGAAGTAAAGAAGATGTGACTGAATATAGCTATAAGGTACAATCTCATGCTAAAACTTGAATGGATGAGGGGCGCCTTGGTGGCTCAGGTCATGATTCCAGGGTCCTAGGATTAGGAAGCCTGCTTCTCCCTCCCCCACTCCCCCTGCCTGTATTCTGTCTCTTGCTGTGTCTCTGTCAAAAAATAAAATCTTTAAAAGAAAAAAAAAAATAAACTTGCGGTGGAATCTCTTCCTGGTGAAGATGCTGGAATGACCATTGACGAAGGTTTTGTGAAAGGAGGAGTCAACTGCTAGTAAACTTCATTGTCGTATTTTAAGAAATTGCCACAGTCACCCTGAGCCACAAACAAAAAGATTACGACTCGCCAAAAGCTCAGATGAGGGTTAGTGTGCAAGAAAGTATCTTAATTAAGGTCTGAATATTGGTTGGTTGTTTTTTTTTGACCTAATGTTTTCTGTACACTTAAAAGACTACAGTGTAAAAACCTAACATTATTATTATGTACATACTGGGAAAACCAAAAAACTTCATTTGATTTGCTTTATTGCAGTAGTCTAGAACCAAATCTATGCCTGTAGTATTTGCTGGTGATGGGTCTAAAATGTTAGCGGCAGCACAAGCCTTGGAGTGTCCATTATCTGACAAAAGCAAACACTTTTTAGAAAGGAGGAGTGTTGACCCTCCCTCAGAAGACAGAAAGTTGGAACTGAGATCAAACTACACAAACAAACCTCTTGTGTAAAGGGAAAGAGGTCCCTACCCAAGAAATGTGCTCTTTTCTCTATCATTCATAGCATTAAAAATGCTATTTAGACAATGAAGACATTTATTATTCATCACACTCCACCACATTCCACAGGCATTGTCCCTTCACACACAACATTTCACCCAATGTGTTCATAAAATAAATACGTTGGGTATTAGTTTAAAATTCAAATCGGGGGGCACCTGGGTGGCTCAGTTGGTTAAGTGACTGCCTTCGGTTCAGGTCATGATCCCGGAGTCCCGGGATTGAGTCCCACACATCAGGCTCCCTGCTCAGCAGGGAGTGTGCTTCTCCCTCTGACCCTACCCCCTCTTGGGCTCTCTCTGTCTCACTCTCTCTCTCTCAAATAAATTAAAAAAATAAAATAAAAATCAAACCGGCATTGGATTTCTACTGTCAAACTCCGAAAACCTGAAAAAGCCAAAATCATGATCTAATTCTCTCTGAATAATTGCTTACACAATGGTTCCTTTTGTATCCTACAACTGTTGACTCAACACTGAATTCAAAATTCCCAGCAGATTAACTGGCACAGTTTATGAGACTAGAAATATTTTTTGAAGTGTTGCTAAATACTACACAATTGCATATTCTGGAAGGAACTCAGAGCCCAAAGACTCTATATGGAAAAAGTTTTCCTTGCCCCCTTGCCCCCAAAGCAGAACGGAGGAACACGTTTGTCACTGCCAATGAAGTACAAAGGGCGGAAATGTTGAGAAACGTGAAGACACAAGGGAAGGGAGCTGGTGGTGAGCCGAGAGCTCGGCTTCACAAACAGAGTCATACATACTCACCAGGATCAGGATGGTGCATACGGCCCTCTCTCACTTCACAAGAAGAGAGTTACTGCTGAGAAGGTACTGGACCCCCCTGCTTGTGTCTGTAAAGAACAAAGACAAGGTGGAGTCAAGCCCAGACCATGAGGCTCTCAAGCACATTATATCAATACCCCTGATGCTGTAAATTTTCGATGCCTCCTAAGCTTCTCAATCTGTCTGCAACAGCCCAGGGAAAATGTATATACATTTCCCCCAATACTTAATGTTTCTGCTTCTCAACAAAACTGATATGAACTCGGAAGGGTGAGGCATCTCCAAGGATCCCAACTCTAGTCTGTGTAAGAAAGACAATATTCCGATTTAAGTTAGTTGAAACTACCTTATCAATTTAGACAGCATGCTAAAGGCTTACTTTAATGACGAAGTAGACTGGGTCATTATCGTTATAGAAAATTTCTTTGTTCACATAAAGCAAATTGTTTCAATTTAATAATTTATATTATATAACAATTCAACAATAAGTATTTTATATTTGTAATATATAATAAATTATATAATGCATATATTAAATATAAATGAATAAATTGTATTATAAATGGAAAATCGGTCTGTGTGGTTAATATACTGGATTTTTTAAAACTCAGAAGAATGGAATCTAATTAAGAGGGGAGGGAGAGAAAAGTGGAGTAGTAAACAGGATGAAATAAAATTCCTAAAAATAAAAAAATAATGAAGCTTATATTCACAAATCAATGTTCACATATCTTTACTCATTATATAGTACAATAGTAGGAACAAACAAGTTTAGTAGGAAAAAATTTCATAAATCTACAGAGATGGAGAATGGATTAGTGCTCTTCAGAGGACAGGGAGGGGGGTGGAGTGGTAAGTTGGTATGAGGAAGTTTTTGCAGTCACAAAACCAGTTTTATATCTTGATTGCATTAGTGGTAATCTGAATCTCTATGCATGGGGAAGATTTTGTAACAGTACATACACATGTGCAAGTTAAAAATGGTGAAAACTGAGTAAGATCTATAGCTAAGATGTCATCATTTTGGGAGGCTGAGTGAAGGGAACATGGGACTTCTATATTATTTATGCTGTGAATGTATACTTATTTTAAAAAGCTAAAATATAAAAAAAAAAAAAAAATAGAACTGTGTATCAAAGCCCAGGCCTTAACGAAAGAGAGAGAAGTTATTTTTTATTTTTAAATTTATTCATTTGAGTGAGTGCACAAGTGGGGGGGAGGGGCAGAGTGAGAGGAAGAAGCATTGACTTCCCCACGGAGCAGTCTGGACCCCGGAGATCATGACCTAAACTGAAGGCAGACACTTAACCATCTCTACCACCCAGATACCCCAAGAGAAGTTAATTTTAAATTCAAGAACTCCTATTAATCACCAAATAGAACTGTTCCATCACTATGGCACCTGAAACTAATTTAACATTGTACTAATACACCACTGTATGTTAATTGTACTTCAGTTTCGTTTTTAAAGAATGCACACATGAAGTAGGACATTTAGATTTTTGGCCTGCCTCAGCAAGTGGAAAGATGGAGTTGGCATCAACTGAAATTGGGAAGGCCGGGGCCAGGGAAGGAC